CAGAGCAAAACAAGCGACCCAGGAATATACCAACCGGCCTTGGGCCAACAAATCGATCCAGCAATCAACTGTTTTCATGGCCGTTTGAAAGTCGGAATCACCAAATTCGTAGCGCTGAGACCAGCACAAAGGAGCATAGCGCAGGCGCTCGACCACCACAGCATGAAGCCAAGCCAACAGCAAATGCACGCGCGAGCGCTCGACAGGCTCCCGCGCCATATCCGCTGGGGCCACGGACTGCAACGTGCGCAAGAGCGAGGCCTTCAAGCCTGACGCTGGCTCATACACGAACACTCGCGCAGAGCGCAACAAGTTTACAGGAAGCTTGGGGTTGATCTCGGTCGTCAAGAAGATACGGAAGTTGGGGTTTGGCGCAGCTCCGCTCACCTTCTTCTCCAAGGTCACCAACCATGACGGGCCAAGGTGAACGTTCTTCAGCATGACCCATTTGCCTGTCTTGGCTGCATCTTGAATGGCACGATCGGCATCCACAAAGCCTTCTTCCGACCCAATGGCAACCTCAAGCAATTTGCGATTGTGGCCCTCGGCCAGCTGGCGGACGTTCCCGCTCGCATCGAAACCGCGCGCGCCACACAACATAACTGGGGTCAAGGCTTCCACCTCCTTCAGAACGGCTTGTTCCAGAAGGTCAGCATCGGGCTGTGACATAAACTCAGCGCCAAAAACCAAATTCACAAGCTGGTGACTGTAAGCCAAGACACGGTCCGGGCGCGTGGCTTGCAGGAGTAGCAGACGGCGCATGGCAGCCGCCACAGGCGAGGGCTCATCGCTGGTAATAACTTCTTCCAGCGCCTCGGGCAGGTGGCTCTCCGGCTGCGAAGAGATCACCCAGGCTGCGAAAGCATCACAGTGGGCTCGCACGACGTCGGCCAGACCGGCAAATGCAGCCACGCTGCCTGCCAGGAAATGCAGGGAGCGCGTTTGCTCCGTTTGCAAAATGTCGCGCTCTGCCAAAAAGTTGAAGCTGTTCTCCTGCAGCACAGCACCGCCCTTGCCTCCGGTCAAAAAGTGGTGGAACTCAGCATCAGCAATGGCACGGGGGCTGTCTTGCACATAGAAGAATGCCAGCGTCAATGCAAAAGGCATGCCATGTTCGTGAAGCAGGCCCGGCGACACGCGGCGGAAAGTCTCCACAAAGAGGTCCTTGACAATGATGTCAAGGCGCTGGTGTGAGTCGTCGACACCATCCAAATGGGCGTTTTGCGTCAGCACGACGCTAAAAATGTCCAAGAAGAACTGCAGGGCATAGTGGTACAAAAAGTGGACGACATGTAGCTGTTCGAGCGTAAAATAAATGTGACTGCACTTGGCCGCCAGCGGTACGTACTCCTTGGTTACACTTGCGATGACCTGCATCTCTGTGTCGCTTTTGGCGACCTCTTCTGCCACTTCAGCGGCCTGCGTCTTGAGCGTCTCCAACGCAGTAAGGACCTTGTCATCATCCAAGATGCTAGTGCCCACCTCGTTGAGGGTTTGCAGCAATTGTTTCTCGAGCGAGCGCAGCTGGGCTCGGAAAGCACCCTGCAGCTTGAGCTGCTTCATGCGGCGCTCGTCAATGTCCGGGCGCTCGCACCGAAGGGCCTGGTTCAGGCACTGCGACTGCAACGAGCCGCGGGTAATGGTAAAATTGACCATGGTCACGCGACTGCACAGATCTGGCGGGAACTGGTGGGCATTGTTGCGCGTCAGCAAAACCATGGCAAAGCTCGGTGACAAGTCAATGCCATCATCTTGGCCCAACTGCAACAGGACACGCCCGCCGCTGCGCTTCACTTCTTTGTTCAACACCGGGTTGAGCAAGGGGTCGTAAGTCTCCGCGTCCTGCACCAGCAAACGCGTGCCAAAACGCAGCGATGTTTCCAAGGTCTTGCGGAAGGAGCGATCCAGAAAGCTCGTCTGCGTCGAATTGGTGTCACCACCCGACTTGCGCACAAAGTCCAAAGCTTGGCCGGCAGGGTCGATCACAAGAGCAAAGCGATGCGTGTACTTGAGCATGATGGCATTCTCCACGCACAAGTCGTCATCGGGGAGGCCATTGGCCTTCCATTCCAGTCGCTCGTCGGGGGTGCTGAGATATTCCGTGATGCTAAGCTCGCGCTTGAACACGATGCCTGAGCGATCCAGCTGACGACGCCACGTGCGCATCAACGTCTGACGGTAGGTCTGGTCAAAATAGCCGGCATAACCGATAAAGGCACCGGCCAAAAGGGCATCGCCAACCATGGTGCTGAGCTGGGCCGAAAATTCGGCCGTACCCAGGGACCAGCGCTCCCGCTCGTCCTTGAGTGACTCCAGTAGCTGCACGCTACGCTGCACCTTGAGCCGAGTCGTGTTGAGCTGGTCCTCTGTCTTGCCGATATTCTTCTGCAACTCGTTGTATTCGCTCGTGAGACCCGCAAGTCGGCCCTGCAGTTCTTGGAGAAGTGCCATTACGGCCGCATGCTTGGCCGCCATCTCATCAGCGTCACGTGCCAGCTTTTTCAACTGGTTGCGCAACGGTTCAATTTTGGCCAGCATGGTTGTGTAGGAAAGCATGGCCGTGGCCCACTTGACGAGGGGTCCAGCTGCCTTGGAAGCCTTGTTTGCGCGCTCCTCATTGAAGTCGGGGTTTGAGACGTACTTTTCCATCTGCGCGCGGATTGAGCCGTCCACCGAGTCGGGGTCAAAATCCTTGATGCGTGGCAAAAAGTCAGGCCGGGACACGACGGACCGGATGGCCTTCCAGTCGGTGGTGAATTCGTTGAGCATGCAGAGGGCTGCTTCGAGGGCCATCTTGACCGTTGCCGGAGGATTGCCCAAGGCCTTGAGCTCGCGAAGCGCGCTTGGCGGGATGCCTTCGACCGCCTCCTTGGCTGCAAGCACGGCGGGTTCGACTCCGGCAAGCTCTGTTGCAACTTCGCTCTTGCGCTCAGCAACCTCCTTCTGCTTTTGCACCAGCTCGCGCTCAAGGGATTCTGCCTCGCGCTGCTTGGTCTGAGTCTCCTCCTTGGAAGACATGACCTCCACCATCTTCTCATTTGCACGCGCGTTCATCTCGCGCAGCTTGGCTTCCTCCACGGCCATTTTTTGTTGTTCCTCCTCCACAGCCTCAAAGGTCGCCTGAATCTTTTCCAGGCCCCGGTTCAAGTGAAGTTGCTGCTCCTCCAGCTCACGCCGCTTCATGGTATAGATGGCCAGCATTTGATTTACAAATTCCAAAAAGTGGCGCGGTGTGATGACGGTACTTCGCCCCTCACGCTTCATGAGCCGACGGGCTGCGGCGGACGCGGCTTGATGAACGTATGCCGTCGCATTGACCACGGCCGTGCGATGATCCGGGTACTGTGTCACGCGGCTGGGAACGGCCACCGGAAAGTTGGCGGGTGCCGCGTAGTCAGGACGGTCCAGATCCAACACATCTGTAAACTCGAGGCCGACCTGGAAGCGGGCCTCGTCCGACCAGTCGCCATACCAGTTGAGAACGCAGCGATTGAACAGCGCAGGCGACGTCGCCGCTCGGTCCTGCAGACCCCCTTCAGCTGGGTTCATGGTAAACACCACATGTAGGTTATCCATAACCTGGCGCGAAAACCAGCGGTAGAGTTCCTCGTTGCCCTCTAACACCAACCCCTGGCGCTGGGCACCCTCCTTGCACTGGTTCATGAGGGCGGCGTAATCATCGCCCTCAAACAGGCCAGGCACTTCGCCATTTGCCAAAAGCGTGTTCATGCGCTCCAAGAAGGCCGTGTCCTGTACATTTCCTTCGTCCATAATGAAGACGATTTTCTCGCCCTTGGTACCAGCTCTACGCAGGACATTGCGCAGGTCTTCGTCAAACTCATCCGCACCGTACTGGTTGTGGACCTTGACCTGGAACACAGTCAGACCATTCATCCAGGCTACAAAACGCGAGAGCGTTGTCTTGCCTGCCCCAGACATGCCAATCATTAAAATGTGGCCCTGATTCTGGCGGAAGACACGGTCGATTCGCAAAACGTGATCCAGAACTTCATCGAAGAGAACGAGCTTGACATCCAGTTCTTCCTCACAATAAACCTTGAGGCGCGCCCGCACGTGCTCACGAAGACGCTCCTGCTCCACCGGCATGTACAAGCGGGAGAGCCAGTTGCTGTAGAGGATGGGGCGCTGCAGAGCAGCGGTCATGTCTGCGCCCCCGGGACCAAAGTGTTTGCGAGCCACGGCATCAATGTTCTCATCCGTCCATTGACGCTCATCCGCATAAACAAGGCGATCTTGAAACAGGCGCAGAGCTTCGTGAGCCCAGAGCCGCACCAGCCCGTCCAGATCAATCGTATCCAGAGGTTCAATGGCCTCTGCAATGCCTTTGACCCAGCGCGTCATCTCGCGAGGCGAGTAGATGTAGTGGGGCTGCATGTCAGCGGTGAAGCGCTGGGAGGTCATGGTGAAAAACTCAACCATGGCGTTGGTCAGCGAGTCGGCATGCGGCTTGAGATGGGGCTGTAGATCCAGCATGGCACGGTTAAAGGTGCCGTAGATTTGACGCAAAGACTCGGGTCCTGGATAATCGACATAAACGACAGGCACGTGCCGCAGCAGACGCGAGTCCATCGGCACTCGACCCGGGTCCGTTGGCGGGTTGCAGGCACCCACGAATTGGATGCGCTGCAAGCGGACCCAAGTGTGGTCCTCGGTACGCCAAAAGCCACCTTGCTCAACGAGTTGTCGCACAAAGGTCACAACGCGAACCGTCGCGTAATCATCGGGCGCTGGCAGGTTGCACTCATCCATAAAGACAACCAACCACTTGTTCAGTTGTGAGGGCGCCAGCGTCACGCCATTCGGCGTGCGGCGATAGTCGCAGTACTGCTCAAAAGTCTTGAGAATCAGGTCCGGAGTCGTGCTGCTACTAAAGTTGAGGCCCGCAACATCAAAGTGCGGAAGCGCCCGCAGAGCGCTGAAAAGCGTCATGGTCTTGCCCGAGCCAGGGGGACCGCAGAGAACAATGGGCAGGTGATCACTCAGCCACGTGTAAAGGACGTCCGTGTGGCGCACCGTGTCGAGCGTAGGCACAACCACATCTGTGCCGGAGACCTTGCCTTTGATATCGATGCGCGGGACTTGGTTCTGCCAGGGGCTCCAGTCGCCGTTGGGCAGCTTAACATCGAAATCCATGACATTCTCAGCCCCACCAGGCATCTCGACAAAGTCAGCTCCGTGTTCGCGCAGCCAAGCGCTAAAGTCGTTGCGCACCGTGCCACGACTGTCGCCCACAAGAGCCCAAAGAAGGGAGAAAATGAGTCGCTTGCGCGCATAGATGACCACCTGCGCCTCGGTCACGGGCAGATCGTGGCGCCGGTTGTACTGGCACACAAAACGCACAATGCTGTTGAGCATGCACAGGAACGAGTTGACCGCACGCATGGTCGAGTATTCCATGACATGGAAGAGGTCCCGGGCCCAGTGGATGGCTTGCTCCACGAGACCGCCTTCTGCAAGGGCAGGGGCGATGGCGTCCGCAACGAGGTTTTGAATGGTCAACATCTCGTCGGGCGTCAGTTCCTGGTCGGCACTATCACTGTGCAGCACCTCCTTACGCAGCTGCCGCAAATAACGATCAAAGTACATGTTGACGGACAAAACATCCTCCGAAAACCAGACCATGCCGCACCGTGATACTGTGGCCAAGGTGGCGTGGCGCAGGTCCTTGACCTCAAAGACGATGCGGATGCAGGGAGGCAGGCTCAAGCGCTCGCCGTTGGGCAATGTCAGTAGCTTGTTGTCGTCGAGAACTGAGTTTAGGTTTTCAACCCATTCGGGATCGACGTCACCATCAAAGATAACCCACTGGCGCTTGTCCTGCTCACCACGTTGGTTGTCGACAATCTTGCGAATGGTGTGCGTGAAAAGGCCATCGGTCCATTCACGCGTGGTCGGATCTAGTGAACCATAGAGCTCATCCTTGGTGATGGCTTTGGGGTCAATGACGTGAAACTCCGAGGGTACCTTGTTTTCGCCAGTGCGGGCCGCCGTTTTTTCGCTGACGCGCTCGAGAGCCTCGAGAAGGATGCGCCAAGCAGCCGACTTGCCGCTGCCGCTCGGGCCAACCAGCATGAGACCGTGCTGGAGACAAGAGACTTGATACACCTGAAGCATCTTGGTCAGGAACAAGTCGTTGAGAACGTAGTGACGCTCCTCACAAAGTTGACGAATCTCCGCCTTGAGCTCGTCCAGGGGCAGCTCGGGCGGCTTGACGCCCGGGAAGACGTCGGCAAGCAGACTTTCAAGGAGGGGGATGTCATCCGCCACTAGCTTGGGCACCAAGGTCTGCGTAACCGATTGAATCAGCACCTCCTGCTCATCAATCTGGGCAGAAAGGTCGTCATCGACGGAACGACCAGCGGCTTCAGCAGCATCACGAAGGGCTTTGAGACGATCGCGCTTGATGTTACCAGCGCTCACGAGAACAGCCTTGAGGGATCGAAGACCGAAATCGTAGTGGGATTGGTCGGACAGCTGCTCGGCGCACAGGATGAAAAGGGGCACAATTTTCCGACTCAAGGGCTCGGCTGAACGGAAGCCCTGAGAAAAGAGCATGACCTGAGCAATGAGCTGACGGTCGGGCTTGGTCATGGCAAGCGGCCGAAAGAGCTTCTTGAGATTGTCCGGAAGGTTGGAGCGACCAGCATAGCCAGGGTTCATGGTGATGAAGACAGCCATGTCTGAGCTCACGGGGATGCTCTTGCCCAACAGCTCGGCTCGAGTCTCTTGACCCGGCTGGGCTGCCTTGAGCGCCAGTTGGATGACTTGGATCTGTTGGGAGACTGCGGACAGCATGCGCTCCTCGAGGCGATTGAACTCGTCGAAGCAGCCCCACGCACCCACCTGGCAGAGGCCAATGAAGATGCGGCTCATGGCCTGGAAATCAAAGGTTTCATCGCAGTTGAAGACAAGCACGAAGCGGCCCAGTTGGGCTCCGAGGGCCTTGACTGACTCTGTCTTGCCCGTTCCGGCAGGGCCAAAGGGGCTACCACCCTGACGCATGGCCAAGGCTTGGGTCAGAGTGAGGAAGCACCGGTCGGTCAATGGTGTTTGAACAAGCTTATCCACGAGACCCAAGTACTCAAAGCCATAGTGGTTTTGTGTGTCCGCCATGCGAATGCTCAGCTGCAACATGACATCCTCCTGCTTGGGGTTGAAGTAGAAACGCATGTACTGCAGCCAATGAAAGTCGGTGGCCTGGGCCACATTATTGCCAATGAGTTCGCGCACCACATCACGCTGGTGTACCAGCTCGGTAATCATGTGCTCCAGCTTCTTCCGCAAAACCGGAGGCTGATACTGCAGCACGGTGTCGGCCAGCCCGGAGAGAACTTGCATGACCTGCTCCACAACGCTGTCCAGCGACGTTCCGGCCTCGAGGGCGGCTTCGACGCTTTCCGACCAGGCCACCTGGGCCGCAAGTACGACCAACTGAGCCTGGTAGGCATTGAGCCAAGTCTTGTAGGACTCAATCTCAAAGCCTTCAGCCATAAGCTTTTGCACGGCCACAGTGGCCTCGGCCAAATTTGTAGCGAGGGCCAAGCGGATGGCTTGCTCCAAACCCTTGAGCCACTGGTTGATCTTGACATCCTTGCACACAACGGGGGTAGCAAAGGGCACGCGCTCCAACTCCTTGGACGCGACTCCAAGCACATTGTCGTGAGCATTCGTAAGGGTGATTGTCTGTACACCTGCAAACATCTTCTTAAAATGTTTCTGGAGGCGGTCCACGTTCTTGCTGTTACCGATAATCTCTAGCAAATCCTCGTCTCCCACGAAGTAAAATCGAGGGAAGGCGGAGCGCTCACGTTCCAAATACTCACCCAAAGCCTACACAGCAAACCATGTCCCGCCACGGAAATGAGCAAAAAGAGTGAGTGCAAAGAAGAAAGTATTTTTTGAAGAACCGAGAGCATGTGATTCATTTCATTTTGCCCGGATCCATGTCATGCATACCTTCTGAATTTTGCCCAGCAAGTCTGCAAGGCGCTCCAGTGACTTTTGTCCTTCAGGAATGCTCAGGACCTCAATGGCCAAACGCGAATTGTACACCTTCTTCATAAGAGACAGAAACTCGGCACTGATACTGTATGCGAGGCAAGGAGAGGCATTTGAATAGGCATGAAACACGAGATGAGGCTTGCGCGCGCGCGCGCGCGCGCGTGTGTGTGTGTGTGTGTGTGTGTGTGTGTGTGTGTGTGTGTGTGTGTGTGTGTGTGTGTGTGTGTGTGTGTGTGTGTGTGTGTGTGTGTGTGTGTGTAGAGCAAAACAGTGTCAAACAAAGCAGAAAAAGACGGCAAAGCAAACTTGTCTCAGATCGCGACGTACGTTTGGAAACGACTGCTTTCATTGGGGAGGAGGTGTTTGATGTCTGCACTGCCGGAGAAAATGCCCTCCAAATAGACCCACTGGCGCTGGACGTCCATCCAAACGTCCAGCAGCGCGAAAAGCCGGCTCAGTTTGTCGTGCCAGCTCATTGATTCTTCTTCAAAGACCTTGAAGTATGGCGACATACGCATGGCCTCTAGGGAGTTGATGTGCTCCTTGAGCAGGTTGAAGATGTCGTCCCAACCACGAATGAGGTGAGTCTTGTTCTGGTAGCCGACCAAGTCAAACTCGTGGACTGCCCACTCCTCGCGAATCTGGCGCAAGTACTCCTCTAGACCCATCTCGCCCTGTGCTTGTAGCATGATGTCCTTCAGCGCCTTATCGTTGCGACCCATGTCCACATCCCACACGTCGCCCAGCGTCATGTCCGTCAAGACCCACGAAACACCAAGGGCGCGGATCAGCTGCTTCCAATGACGCTCCTTGAGCGCGTCGGACTTGAGGTTGATGATGTGCTGGTTGCCCTTGAGATAACCCTTCACGCTGGCCATGGTCGTTTCGTACGAAGCGTATGAGCGCACGCGGGCTGGCAGGTTTTTGAGCTGGTTGATGAGGTCCTCGAGTGCGGTTCGGATCTTGCGCGGCACCACGGCCGACCAGGGAATTTGCTTGAGGTCGTTAATGTGTGTCCAGATGCGCGAGAGCTCAGACCACGAAGCCTTGAGATCATTGAGCTCCTCCACCTTTTCATCAACGCGCTGATCTTTGCGAAAGTCCATGTCAAGCGCAAAGTGGGCGCGTTCGAGGTTGTCTTGCTCCTCCTTCACCTTGACGAACCGGCTTTCATAGATGGAAAGGGCGTTGACGGCAGCATCAGGGCGTACCCCACCACCAACTGGCTTGTTAACGTCCCAATCCTGCAGCAACGTGTTGACGCGAGATACAAGCTGGCGGGCCTCGTTGACTACCTTCAGCTGGACGGTGTCACGTTGCGCTTCAAGGCTCAAAGACTTTTTGCTGACCAGATCATTGAAGGCCTCCCATTCACTTGCAATGCTGTCAGTGTACAGCCAGCCATCGGGGAAGGCGTAGCGTTGGCGCTCCAAGATCTTTTGCCCAGCTTGGAACGAGGTGATGTCGTCGGCCCATTGATGCATGCGGCGGCGCGTATCTTGCAAAGTTGTAATAAAGCTGACGGCTTCCCCAGTGGAGACGCCGTCAATGCCCATGCCCTCGAGGGTCTGTCGCGTGCGCTGGATGGTGCTGAAAAACTCATTCATGCGACCGCCAATCTTGGAGCCAAACTTGGCGAGCATTTCGCGGTGCAGAGCCTCATACTTCATATTGACGCGCGTCAAAACTTGGCCGTAGTCCACCTCGACGGGCCCAATGAACTTGCTCGTCTCGGCAGTATCAAACGTGCGGCGAGCGTTGCGAAGGTCGACAAGGAGTTCGTTCCAGAGAGCAATATCGTCCCCAAGCTCGTTCTCGATATCTTCGGTCGACATGTCCCACAGCGCTTGATATTGCAGCCAGACCTGCATGTACTCGTCCACGGCCATGACGGTTTGATCGATGGTACGATAAGTGTCTGCCAAGTCGCGGTTGCCGTTGGGGAGCTTGGTGAGCAAGCCGCAGTACGTTCGCTCGCCAAGAGAGGGGGCCACAACGCCCATGGCAGCAGTCACGGCTACTTCATCGTCTGTCGAGCGCACGCGGGGCAGCGTGGTGACCACGGCCACATGCTTCTGTAGTTGACGCAGCAGCGCGGCACGCGTGTGTTGGGGTGGCGGCTCGATGCGCAACTTCTCCTGGTACATGGCAATCTCGAGCAGGATTGGGGCAATGATGCGGCGCGGGGCCTTGCTACCACGGCGAGCGCGAGGTCCCCGAGCCAGGGCTTCATGATCATACTCGCGCAGAGCCACACACCATTCACGCAAGGCAGTGGCGAGAACATTGGCGAGCTGTTGTTCAAGGCGGTCCTCCAAGCGGGCCAGCCAGTCGTTGAGGTTCACGTAGCCGCGCTTCTGCAGCTCCTCGATGAGGTGTTGCATTCGCTCGATGATTTTGAGCAAAACGTTGCTACGATATTCCGAGGTAGCAACGCTCTGCACCAGCTTCTCCAGCTGCTCCGCAATGTCAAGTGCCATATTCACCTTGTCCTGGAAAATGAGCACGTTTGAACAAAAGTCTTTGATGGCTGCCTCGACCTTGAAGTGCTCCCAGGAGACGGCCAAGAGGCCAGAGATTTGGGTATGCAATTCCTCGTGCTGGCGGGCCAGGAGAGGTTGAATTGTGGGGTTGGCCTCAATGACGGCGATGACACGCTTGTACGTTTTGAGGTTAGTGGCGAGTAGCGAGCTGAGGCCCGAGAATCCCTGGCGGCTGATCATCTTAGAAGTCAGCTTGAGGGGCAGGCGATAGTTGAGGCTGCGGAGTACGCGCACCTCGCGGATCATGTTCAGAGCAGCTTCGGGAAAGTCCACACGGAGCTCGAAGGTTTGGTCCTCCTTCTTGAAAATGGTGAGGGCACTGCGCCCAGGGTCCATATTCCTCGATTCCGTCTCGCGGGCCCACTCCTGGATGATGGCATCAGCATCGAGTTCCTCGCGAAAGGCATCGGCGACTTGTTTAAGTTGCCGGCCATCCTCGCTGGCGTTCCAGTGGTGACTGAAGACCTGCTCTAGGCGCTTCAGATAAAACTCAACCTGGCGATCAAGCTGTCGGGACCAGATGACACGACCCGAGACGGCCGGAATGTCACGCACAAGAGACATGGTGAAATTGTTGGTATTGATGTAGCGCACCTCATGGATGGCTTTGAGCTTGGCAATATCCTCAGACACGCGAGCCAGGAGCCGAGAACGGAAATCGGACACAGCCTCGCGTACGCTGGGTCGGTTGAAGAGCACCTCAAAACGTCCAAGGATGCGGAACATGTCGTTGGCGGAGCGCGCCACGCCCAGCTGATCACGCATTCGCAATGCGATACGTTTCTCCACTTGCTCGATGCGCACTTGGTAATCGCCCATCGCAGCGTTCCACTCGTGCGTGCCCGTCTCACTGAGATCCAGAGGCTCGAAGCGAGTAATGGCATCATAGGCTGCGTTGACCTCCGAAAGCGCGAAGCGATCCTCTTGATCACTTTCGGCGCCCGCGCGCTGTATGGCCGTGGGCTTTAAGACGCGCAAAATAACAGACAGAAGCTGTTCGTGCTGTTGACGGAAGCGGCTGAGGTCCTTGATGCGCTGCTGTAGACCCTCATGATGGGACTCGACCTTGCGCAGCGTCTTGAGGGAGCTATCGCGGCGACTTTTGAGCTTGTCGCGGAACATGGTGCGGATTTGTTCAATCTCCTCGTCCCATCGCTTGAAAATCTTGAAGCAGTGGTCGAGGACGCGCATAAAGTCGTCGTAGGCCATGCGAAGAAGGTCACGACTTTGCAGGATGATGCGGGTGCGATTGGAGAGATCCCGCGAGATGGCCTGCACAAACTGAACGGCGCGTGCAACGGGATACTGTGACTTGCGCAGCTTGCGGAGGTTGGCAAAGATCTCAAAGATGGCCTTGTAAATGGCGTCGAGATCGGTCGAGCGCATAAGAAAGCTGAGGGGATGGTTGAGGCCGCGCATGAGGGAGCTATAATCGCTGGTGGTCTCCAAAGCCTTGTTCAAGCCAATGTCTGAATCAAAGCTGACAGTGGCATGAAAGCGGCGGGCATGCTTGAGGACTTCCAAGGTAAAGCCAACCATGACCGATTCGCGCTGCGCATGAAGCTCTTGCAAAGCTTGGTCCAAGTTGAGCCAAAAGCTCACTTCTTGAAGGGCCGATCCCGTTGAGCAATCACGCTGCAGGTGAGTGATCTGAGGATACAAAACAAGGCCACAGCCATCAGGCCAGTAAACAGGTAATGAGCAACGACGGAAAAAACAAAACAAAAACGAAAACAGCGGGGGGAGGGCGCGCGCGCAGGGGGTCGGAAAGACACTAGACGTCAGCATACTTTTTGCATGTCATGAACCCAACGTTGGATGACGCGCTGTAGCTCGTCCAAAAAGGTGGGGTCATCGGCTCTAGAAGTGAAAGGCGGCGCACACACATTGGTAAACCTTGGGTCACGGCGGAAGGGGGGGGGGGGGGGGGGATT